GCGGGACTGAAGGGACCACAGTGGAAGGTACAACATACCCAGACACTCCATGAGACCGGCATATTTACCTACATTGACCCCTTTTCAACCACCCCACTGTATGTAAATATGCCAGAACCCATTAGTCGTGTCTGGGATATAACAGCTAACAGGTCGCGACCCACCTGGAGCCGGGCCAGGCCACTAGCGAACGACCAGTCCACCAGGTGTTGGTCAACCAGTACGGTCTGCTTTTGACCAGTCCGCCAGAAGTGATCAATCGCCATTGGTCTGCGGTCTGATTGGTTTGCGCTCGGATGAGATAGGGTGATGAATGTGTGGCAGACCGCTTGAAGTGGCAGATCGTCGCCTCCGATGGGTGTTTTTGGACCAGCGCCCAGACTCTCTGAGGATCTGCTGAGTCTTTCGGATTGATCGAGCCGGATTCACTGTTGGAGTACACACTTTTTTTGGACCAGACTCAGGACAATCTGAGACGTTTGATGGGACCAACATATTCACTTACATTGGGTCATTGGGGTGGTCAATATTCCATACATGGAGTTTCTGGGAACGGATCCAGTCCTTCATTTTCTGATGAATCATGGGGCTGTCTCCAACGAGAGACAAATATCCACCAAGAGGTTGTTGGGTCTCTGAAGCGGTAGCCCAGGAAAACAGATCACGTCACAACCACCGGGAACCATTCGTTATTTTTGATGCGTTTGATATGCAGAAGACATTCAATCTGGCAATCCCCTCTCCTGAAGATAGTTCCAAATGGACCCTGGAGTACAGAGTATGTATTATGCCAAAGTGCGATTGCAGGATGGAGTGGGGCGTCAATACCTATACCCAGTGGATAACCTTTAAATGCCGTTTAACCTTTTTGGGGAACTGGTTTCCCCACTGAAATCAAACAGGTGGATTTATTTTCCAGAGAAACTGAGAGGGGTATAGAGGGGTTAGAATAAGAGATTTACTGTAGTTGTGGGGGGAATTTGTTTGAGAAGAAAGACCAATGCCCTTCAACGTGCTTGAACTGCAAGAGTGCAGTACCACACGGAGAGGTTAACAGAAATCACATTTTGGAACAACTGGGCCTTTCTCCCATGTTCAATTAACGTCGGGAGAGGATTAGTTCCAGCCGAAATTCCAAGGATTGGACATGTACAGTATATATAAAATTTAACAAAACATATATAATTAAGCATAAATATATACATGCATATGTATACAAGTTATATTAGTATTTATATATTTATATACACAAAAAACATCCTTGCCGCAGCGGCCTTCAGCTGACCGGGCCTCTTAGGGCATTGCTTCTCTTTTCCTCGCTGGTTGGGCACGTCTCAATTTTTCTGGTGCAAGCAGCCGAGGATGCTGCAACCATGAGATCTATAGTTTTTGTTTTATTCGTGGTGAAAATCATCAATGGGGCTTCTCGGTGGGTGAGAAGCAGAATTTAGAACTCTGAAATGAGTTGTATTGGTGCAACCTATCCGGAGTCCAGGGGTCCCTTGTCAATTACCATGTGGATTCATTTGAGTGCTCCCTCAGGAGATTTGAATGTTTCCTTTGTTCATCTAGCATCCCAAGGCTGAGCAGTAACCCTGGGCTTGGAGTTGGTGTGCTTGGTCTTCAGAGCTTGCTGCGTTGGGGCTGGGCGGTTATCTAACATGTTGCAAAAAAAGAGAACGACCCCACGCACCGGTCGGAACAAGAAACCCAACGGCATTCGAGCTGTTGCGCGGGGGTCTCGAAAGTGCTTTTGCACATAAATCGATGCGCAGGGCACAGGGTGGGATGTCTTAAAGGTCTGGTTTGTGTTGGAATCTGCTCTGGCTGCTGTGCTCTGGCTGCTTGGCACCTGCAACAAGAACCTACCTGGGCGAAGCGGCCTCTCTGAAACAGAGGCTCACTTGCTCCGCTCCTGAAGGTATACAACAAGCACCCTTAGACAGTGAAACGACCCGCATGCTTGTTTTTTGCCCAATGTAGAGGACTTTGCGACGATTCTGGTCACCCTCAAAGCATTCTGATAGGGCCAACCTTCTGACCAAAATCGGAGCTGCACCACAGAAGATGCCGCTCAGCTTTATGGGGCCCATTCATAGGTTTGGGCAGGTTGTGATCAGCTTGGAGGGAGAAAGTGGGCAGTAGAGTCTACCTGGCTAGTGCCAGGGCTTCGCTCTGAGGCTTTCTTCCACGTAGGCTTTAGGCCCAGAGACAGGCTTTTCGTCCATGGTCCGGACGGAGACGTGCCAGTGTGGTGGATTTGGTGCAAATCCACAAGGAATTGGCACGGAGAAAAAGACTTCAAGGCAAAGTCCTGAACAATTCCAGTTTCAGCATCCTAGCTATATAGACAAAGGGTCTCGAAAAGCATCAAAGCTACCAGAGGTTCATCACCACAAACAACTCTGTTTTGCGGGGACCACGACGGTGTGCACCGGGAAATCGTGTGGCTTCTTTAGCTTCTTTAGCACAGAAGATCTTGATTTTCCCAAGAACCCCCAGATTCAGAGAATCATTGCTGTCTCCTGAATCTCCCGAGCAGACATGTGAGCCTCGCGTTCTGGGGGTCTTCTAAAGACTTATCTTTCTGCTGCGCCGACCGGCGCAGCGATGCTCGGTGCGGACTACACGCTGAGTTGCACCTTCGAGAGCGACTCGAGAGAGTGTCGACGTCGGCAGAATTTGCGTCGAAGGCGACCCAAAAGGTCAAGAAGCAATGCATTCACCAATCCAATCCACCAACCTGACCGGAAAGTGATGATAGTGATGTGGACTGTTAAATAAATCCCCCAAAAGTCCTGGAGATGTAAAACCATTCATAAACAGTTTACATTAGTTGGCCCCTCCCAAACCACTCCAAAGCATCTTCTTGAGGGTTTGTGGATCTCGCACTACTCAAGGCTTCTTCAGGACTTGAGTCATCTCTAGGTATTGATATGGTGGAGCGGGGGCAGTTTTGGAGATCCTCAGAAGTGAAGAGTGGTTTCTGCATCTCCACCATGGGCCATTCAGGCAGCTAGGGCACCAAACCATCGAACCGTTTTGTGAACCGTTTTCCTGTGCTCTCCTTGAACCAAACGAGCCGAGGCGTAGATTGTCTTCTTTGAACCAAACCAACCAGGCTTCATGATCTCAATCCCTGGGAACCGTCCAGTTTTCCAGCCCCATCCAACGTATCCCACGCACGCATCCCACGCCGGCGTACTCGGGCCCCACTCCGGGCAAGTGGTCCACCGCATCCTTGAGTGGCATCCCTTCTGAACATGGCGCAACCATGTAGAGGATTGAACCTGCTTACTAAGCTGGTTGCTGGTTCCTCTGGTCTTTCCACCACTGTTTTTCAGCAATTTCACACATGCCACAGGGTTTGATCCTCTATTTCTGCAAGCCACATCAGGTGGCTTCTTTTTCAAGCCAGACATGCCACACCGGCCACACCTCGTACGGAGCGACCCCACGGCTGACGTCACGACCCGGTTCCGCGGGCGACCCGGTGGTTGCGACCGGTGATGAAGCGATGCGATAAGCTGAGATGAGTGATGAAACGTCCCCACAGTCGACCGAGAATCGGAGTGGGTTGTTGTTTTGTTTGTCAATTTTGCCGGGGAATTCATCGGTGAAACGAGGTGATTTGGGGAATTGGAATCTTCAAACCACCACATGGAAGCACGAAACGGAGACGGATTGGTGCTGAACTTCCATATGAATATATGAATATGGTGATGATTCAGCCTTTCCATGAATTACTTGTGAGAAGTCTCACCCTAGAAGTCCAAAGACTATTTTCGGCACCACCCAAGTAAAGGAAGTTCCTTTTCGGATCACCAAGTCAGACCGTTTTAAAAATGGTCGACTGGACTCCCAGGGTCTCATGTTTTCAGGTGTATTGCGGGAATGTGACGAGCAAGGGATGTCATCCAATCCGAGCCCAATCGTGACGATGCAGACCGTGCCATTTTGGCACCGGTCTCGGCTCGATGGCAAGCAAACCACAAGTGTTTGAGTCGAAGCCCAGAAATTGCTTTTATTCAAACCAAGGTGGCACAGATGCCGCAAAATGCCGGTCCGGTGGAAGAGAGCGACCTTTTGATCGACCAGAGTTGTCCCCATCGGTTTTGATTGGAGATAGTGACCCCGAGACCCCAGGCCCCCATCATGCCGTGGTTTTTTGGGGCTTGATCCCCTCAGTTCAAGACTTTTGACATGCACTTGCCTTGTTTGTGTTTTCTCAATTGTTTGAGCAACTCATCCGCCTCACAGCCAGGGATTGAAAGCCACAAAAACAACTATAGACTAAAGGTTCTAAATCGAAGAACACGTGTTGAGCTTCCACATGCAATTCTTCCAGTCAAACAGGGAGGTTCACGAGTTCCTTCTTGGTTGAATTTCAGGTCTCTTCAAGGCTCCGAAACCGACATTTGGATTCACAGAAACTCTTCTGTCGACTTGTCCTCCCATCCTTTTGGCGGATTGCCAGACGCTCCATGGGACTGGAATCTATGCCTAAAATATGCCTAATATTAACCCCTTTTCAACCACCCGAATGGGACTGAATACATCCTGCCAGTCCCATTCGTCGTGTCTGTCTCGTCCAGCTCGTCCCGATCACCCGCGCCGAGCCGGAACTTGAGTCGAAACGCATCACAGCGGACGAAGCCTTCGGCCCGTTCAACCCCAAGCTCGGCCCCAAACGCTCACCCTTCAGCTGTAGGCTCTTGATGAGACCCCCAGACATGGACTGCAAGACCTGCTTGTGGGGTCCATCCAATGGGTGTCCTGGCTGGACTACCCTACAGCACCACTTAGAGATGTCCAGCCAGGACAATTGGATGGTCCACGTATATAATCAAGAGTCTAGATTGTGTAAATGTTTCTAGGTTGGAGGCCATCACTAGTAGGTTGGAGGCCATTGCTTCTAGGTTGGAGAATGTTGGAGGCATTTCTATTAGGTTGGAGGCTATTGCTTCTAGGTTGGAGGACTGAGGCCTGGACGTCCTGAGGCCTGGCCCCCGCGAATCTGGCCACGCGGTGCCCACCGTGCCCGACCAGAGCGAAGCACAGCACTGGGCGCAGTGCACAGCTCCGGGCTCCAACGAAGTGCAGTGCACAGGACTGGAGGTACAAGGCCAGGATTGATCAACATGGAGCCATACTAGGCCATACTAGGCCCATTAATTATGGCCCAACTTGAAGCTCCTTTTCACTGGGAGTGAACTATGGAGTGAACGACGGGAAGGTTCTGAAACACCGCCCAGTCTTTCCTCCGTTTTGCCCCACCTGAACTTTGGCCGAATCGGCGATCTTCGGGCCGCAGGCGATGGCCATGGCATTGGTGCGCTCTACATGCTGCGCACACAGCTGGCGAAGGAGCGGAAGGAGAAGGAGATGTGGCGCGAAAAGGCGGGAGCGCAGCCGGCGAATTGGTTTGTTATTTTGTTGAAGTGGCCGCTCGGAGGCGATTTGGGCTATCGTAAAAGCGTAAAGTGTAATTCTGTTGAAGACCATTTTAATTTTAAGACATGCAATGATTCCATCACTAAAGAAGTCCAGGTACGTGGCCAAGTCCTTGGCATTCTTTCAGTAGACAAGCCTTCATATAGTACAAAAATCATCATCCACCGCAAAATTATTACACTTAGAAATATTTAGAACTTAAAACTACAACCCCTGAAATTCAGATCAGCTGTCAGCCCCTCCTTTATGTATACTATATATACATATATATATATATACATACTATATTTGTATGTATATATATACACAGTACAGTATACACATACTATATACTTTATGCGCATACACATTATTATAATATACACATACTGTACTATATTTGTATATTTGAACAGGATCTCTCCCTTTCTTCGCTGGCCCTGTTCAGCTCGCGAGGCCCAGGAGGTGGAGCAGCTCCGCACGCGCCTGGCGATTTGGACCGAGAAGCCGGACGCACCACCTGACCGCTTGGCTGCGGTGACGTTGAGCGCGGCGGAAGGGAGCGCGGCTACTCCGCGCGAGCGCGGCGCCGTGAGTGGTGACTTCAGAAGGTGGGGAGACGGGTGGGAGATGGGAGTTTTTGTTGGGTGGTGGATGGAGTTTTGGCTGTTTTCAGGAATCTGCTTCAGACAGTTGTGGACGAGTCGTGCACCGGGATGATATGAAGCCTTCTCGCACCGGATCTCTTTTCCTTTGGCCGCTATCATTTGACCCAATCGGTAAAGGGTTCGTAGCTCCAAGGACCGGGAGTGAGGGTTTTAAGTAGTGCAAACATCTTCAATTCTCGTTTACAGCTCCGAGAAGCAACCAAACCACTCTCAGTCAGTTGCTGAAAACAACCCACCTGGCGCCGCCGCTGACGCGCGCGCGCTTCAGCTGCTCCGGGCAGGAGCGAGGCGCCCGAGGAGCGAGGCGAGTCCCAAAGAGCGGAGACGAAGCTCCAGCGCTGAGTCCCAAGGGTGGGAGGAGGGTCCCAGGATGGTGCATTACAACGAAGAGGCATAGAAGCGATCTATACTAGCGATGCCCTTGTGACTTACGGGTGGTTTTAGTAGCGACGCCCTTGGTACTAGTAGTAGACTTTGGTAGGCCATCGAAAGAAGACGTAATAAGAATGTCGGAAAGTAACTTGCTGGTTCCATGACATTCCATGCTGGAATGGTCATGAGGATGTTCAGGTGGAAGGATATTGGTTGATCGTTTATTTTGCTATGGTTCAAGTGGTGCTTGTCTTCTCAAAACACTACTTATAGGCTACAGGACTTTGTTGGACACACCTTGAAAGTTCTAGATAGGAGAATGGTCTGACACCATGGTCTGTTTTGTGTTTGTATTTGATCATTGGTTTTTAATTTTGAGTGGTGCTGATCTCCAAGTCTTATTTGACTTTATAATCAATTAATCACAGTAGTGCCGTCTTCTCTTTGATGGCAGACCGTTTAGTAGACAGTCTCTTTTCACCCACACACCATTTCGACCATCGGTGGTTCATGTAACAGATTCCCAATAGGATTCTGTTCTCGCACTCTCTCGTCTGTTCGTCTGTTCTCTCGCGTCTGTTCTCTCGCTCTATCAAATCGGCAGTTCTCATCGGCTGTTCGCACACCGAGGCTCAAGGACCCAGGCGCCTTCGTGGTCGAAATCGCGCCGAACGAGTTGATCCGGAGCCGGTCCCGGACTCCGGTGAAGAAAGGTCATCTCAGGTTTGATTTGAAAGGTAAAAAGTCCAAAGAACGTTGACGCAGGCCTTTTGAAGGTCAGGTGTGAAAAATCTGAGGCGATCACATTGATCGATCGAAAGAACCTGAACTTAAAATTTCCAGCAAAGTTTCAGGTTGTTGGCGCCAGTGCCTTTGACTCATGTGGTGCACGTGTTCTATTGTGTTCTTATCTTTTTTACAGATTGGCCAAGCGGGATGGCCCGTGGGTGGCAGTTCCAGTTCCAAGGTGTGCTTGAAGATGCTTTATCATTTCAGTGTGTTGAAGCCCCGGCCAATATGTTAGCGCCTTTAACCTTTGGTGAAGATTCCCACCAGAAGGTGCCTTGGTTGCCTCAAACAAGCTGACCAGGGTGTTTGGATTTGAAGTGCACGGCCATGATCCTCATGAGCCAAGCAAGTGTGAGCAAGTGAATGAGTCAGTGCCATTGACTCATTGACAGGTTTGCACAGTACTCAGTTGACTCAACAAATTCTAGCAGTCTGACACGGGAATCACAATTCAAATACTCTTGAAACAACGCTTGCACTTGCTATGTTTGATCATTCTGTCAGATCAGTGCTGATGCGCCATCAGGTCATACCGGATCCCTAGAAGCTAGAAGCTCCAATTCTAGACGGGCACCGCCGAAGTCAAGGACGAGATCGGGTCACCTACCCAGACCATCCTGTCTAGGTGTCCTGGCTGGACGACCCTCCACGACCCTCTCCAGGATCTCCAGCTGGACGACACTCAGAATGGATGGTCCAGGAATGTCCACGATATGTTTTCCTCAGACCACTTGAAAACTCATCGACAGGACTTTGAGATGAAAAGGGAGATCCCTTCCCCAAAAAACCCAAGATTTCATGCAGTCAGCCCGTGGCAGGCACCCGATCCAGCCGCATCTCCAGCAGCTCGAGCACCGCCGAGGAGTAGTTCTTCTCCGTGGAGCGTTTTTTTTCCCGTTTTGCACTGCGTGGAGCGAAGAAACAAACACCACGGAGTTTTTTTTTGTTTTTCGATGCTGACACTCCCAGAAAAATCATGGAAGTGGATGGCACAGGCCCCTGGAAAATATAATTGACCATAGGAGGAGTGATTAGTGAAGAGGTCAAGAAAGGGGAGGGACCCAAGCCGAAACTTCTTCATGGAAGAAAGGGCGGTTAGTATTGCAGGCATTTTGGGCGAATGTATTGAAAGGCTTAAACCCATATAAACCCATAGACGGGGTTCCTTGATGATGTGTTTACAGTTTACGTTAGATTCCACCTGTTTGTTCCCTCCATTTGGAAGGCTTTTGTAATCTTTTGGATAAACATGGACGTAAAAAGCAGAACGCACGGGCTCTGGTTTACATCATAGTACCCCTTCAGGGGCTCTGGTTTCAAAAATCATAAACATGGATATACTGTATACTCTTCGAGTCATTGATTCAGATGTAGGGTGGAGTTCACCACCTGTTGGTCGAAGAGGCTCACAGCGCTCAGCACTCCCAATGAAATGGGGGGAGACACTCCACAGGTTTTGGACCTCCAGGGGGGTGATACTAGTCATCATGTGAGTCGCCATTACCCTCCTGCAGAGGACCACATGGACCCTGAAAGCTACGTCGGGTGGAAGAGGGGAATGGTCTCACGGATCCATTGGCACGGTCCATTCGTCTGCAGGGGTGTATATTGTAGACTCTTGATTGATAACCCCCCTGTATGAAGATGTTTTTCTAGATGATTAATCGATCAAGAGTCTATAAAAATGAGGACTGTAGGCGGTAGGTAGGTTGATGGAAGAACTCCTCTTCTGTCATTGATTTCCCATCGCACCATATTTGTGAGAACATCACTCCCAACTGGTGCGTTTGAGAACCCCCTTCGACAAGATTCGGCAGAGCTCGGTAGTGAAGTCCCAAGCCTTGCAGTCCTGTCCTCGTTTGCCATGTCTGCCAGGAGGCTGAGCTGGACACAGCCAGTGTCTCCAGCGACAGCGACTCCTCTCCACGGGCGACAGCAGCGGAGTCCGAGGCGGGCGTGGGGGGACGAATGTAACCGAAGGATGAGTACCTGAAAGAGAAGTGTTTTCAAAAGGAACCACCAAGTGGTACACTTCGTTCCTGACCCCCTCAGAGACTGTGAGCATCCCGAGATTCATTGACATGAACATCTACAGCATCTACAGCATCTACAGCCACGGAGGGTTTCCTCATATCGATTCTTGAGAATCGTCAGACTGTCTTAACATTGGGATTGTATCTACGGTAGTCCTGTCTTGACCCAGGAAGGTGGTCAGTCCACTTGGCCTTCAGAGCAGTAGAAGGTGGTCAGATCTGCGAGGTGGGAACCACAAAAAGGCCACCTCCAAGGTCCTGGCGGGAACCTTCGGTTCAGCCATCAATTCCAGAGGGGGCATTTGGGTATATATATCCAACATATCCTGTTGATCGAGTAAACTAATCGCTATGTGAATTAGGTAGATGAGATGTCTTTGTTCTTTTGCTTATTGTGGAAATGCACCCATGGCCTTTGGATGTGTTTCACTGCGGCCGGACAGGCCTTGAGCATTTGGCTCCAACGGCACAAAGCAGTGTGCGCATTCCGCTTCCTTCGTTCTTTCGTAGGATCTCGGGTGCCGCTGTTTACAGTGGCAGCGGAGCCTCTCCGGTTCCGTGGGCCCTGCGCAGCTTCGCTTCTTTGGGTAGCTTCGCTTGGTGGTGGCGCTTTGGACCTGCCGGTCCTGCTTCTTGCGGCTTGCTGGCCGCTCCTGACTTTGTGGACGACTACGTCTTCTCGGTGGACTTCGTGCTCTGGACGACTCCGACTCGGCGGTGGACTTCGACCGAACTTTTTCCTGGAGGTCTTCCTGGCGGACTTCCTTGGTGGCGTAAAGCCTCTCCCTCGGCCAAGGGATAGAAGGTTGCCTGGTGGTGGACTACATCCTCGTGGAGCTCATGACGGACGAGAAGAAGGATGACCGGGGCTTCGATAGCTACATACCGGTCTGGGACGGCAGAAGCGAGACCCTCAGAGAGTTCAAGAAGGCCGTCCAATGGTGGTTGCACTCGATCGACCTGGAGAAGACCACCTCCTACAACTTGGCCGCAAGGTTTGCCATGCGGCAGAAGGGCAGCGCAAAGTTGAGAGCTTTGGAGTTTGATCCAAAAGAGCTCGAGTACATCCCCGCCGAGAAGGTGAAGGATGAAGAGACTGATGAGATGGTTGAGTTGACACCTGCGGTCTACGACGCTGGAATCCAGAAGATCCTGGCCTCCTGGGATGACATGGTTGGGAGGTCACAGACTGACCGCAAAGGTGAGCTTCGTGAGAAGTACTACCTGCAGCTTCGACGTGGAGGTAGTGAGAGCATACCGAACTTTGCACTTCGGTACAGAACGCTGGTTGGAGAGATGAAGGCCGAAGGCATCATGGTGGACCCCAGCGAGCAGGCATGGTTCTTCAAGCAGAAGCTCGCCCTCACAGAGTTGCAGCGACAGATGCTGGAGACGACCTTGGGGGTGGAGACGGAGGACTACGGTGCCTGTGAGAGGGAGGCTGTTCGCCTCTTCAAGCGAGTCCATTTTGGACATGGGCATGGACCTGGACATGGAGGACCACAACATGGCGGTCATGGAAACTTCGCTAAGCGACCCACATCCTTGACGGCTTCTACCTTGTCCCGGTTCCGGAAGAGCTTTCCTTCGACTACTTCGTCTTCAAGCTCTACATGGCGGCGTGGCGGCGGCAAAGGCTTTGGCGGCTCTGTCAATGTCACGGAGTATGAGGACGAGGACCCGCCTGAGCATGAGGCCTTTGAAGCTGAAGAACACCCTGCCGAAGGTGAAGACGATGGTGGTGGAGACTCTGAGAGTCTTGGCGGCTTTGAGGGGCTTCAACAAACCCTTGAGGCCATGGCGACGGAGCTGGATGAGTTGGCAGATGGTTCACAGGCTGATGATGACCTGGCGGCCATTGAGGAACAAGTTGAGGGAGCCGTGGAAGCATTGGTGACCCTTCGTGAAGCGAGGTCACAAATCAATGCTCTGAAGAGAGACCGTGGATTTCGTGGACCTGGAACTTCGAGCTTCAAAGGTGGAAAGGGCCGTGGAAAAAAAGGCTCAGCTGGTGCAAAGGACGGCAAGTGCTTTGCGTGTGGCCAGACTGGTCACTGGCAAGGAGACCCAGAATGTCCTGCTGGTGGCAAAAGTTCAGCAAAAGGGAAACAGCTTCCGAAGTTTCCCAAACCCATGCACAAGACAGGAGCTTCATCGTCGACTACCTCTCCCAAGTCTTCGACCTACCGCAATGAGGCCAATGCAGCGGAGGTGAACGTGGTCGACCTCCTGGAAGGTGCAAACAACAACGTGTCCTTCGACCTGGAGCCGACGGTCCATGAGATCAACGTGGTTTCAACGCTCTCGGAGGCTTTGACAGCAAGTGCAGCTGGACCTCCGGAGTTGAGCTTGGACAAGATGTATGTCGCAGCTCTTGACTCTGCATGCAACAGGAGCTGTGCTGGTGAAGAGTGGATCAAGACCATGAAGGCAGCGCTGAACCATGCGCCTCCTGAGATCAAGAACCTGATCATGGAGAAGCCGGTGAGAGACTACTTCAGATTCGGCAATGGCGGAATCTTAGAGAGTCAGAAACGCATCAGGCTGCCGATTGTCGTGAAAAACCAAGTGGTGCTTCTTTGGCTAGCTGCCATTCCTTGCGATTCACTAGGTTGCCTGCTGGGGAAGGACTTCCTCGAGAGCTTGGGGGCTACTTTGAACTTCTCTTCAAAGAAACTCCAGTTGAAGTACCTCACTGAAGAATGGACACCCCTGAGCAAGATGAAAGCAGGTCATTTTTCTTTGAACCTCCTCCCAAAACCCTTGACCTCGTGGCCGACGCTTGGACCTCTCGCATGGCATGTCGTAGGTGTCGGAGGTTGCTGTGAGGTTCAATGTGAAGGTCGAGTCGCATGGAAGGCACACAATCGACTAGTTGATCGTTCGACAGACGTTGATGGTGACTTGAACATGGTTGTGCACTACATCCCGGAGTTCTTCAGCTCAAGCTCGTCCTGGCAGCTCAAAGATGATGCCCAATCTCTTCGAGATCTCCCCGACCGCTTCGCGATGGCAACGTCTTTTGCTGCGGATGGCTGCCAGGAGGACTTGGCATTGGAAGGGAGTGATGCTGTGGTTGGTGCAACGTCCATTCCTGCGCTTCCTGCCCGTGCCCTTGCCGGTGGTCACGAATGCGGAGGAGTGGAAGACCCAGCTCAAGGACATGGTGCGACGCAAGGTGTGGCCGAAGCGATGGTTGCCGAAGGCCCTGGAGGTGATGAGTCTTTTGCACCTTCAAGAGGCTCAGATGCTCCGCAACCGCATGGGCTTGGAGGAGGCGTTCATGGAAGACGAGGCCGTGATGTTCGGAATCAAGGCACTGAAGAAACCTCCCCGTGCTCGGAAGCAAGCGGCACTAGTTCAGGCTACGCACCAAGCAATCGCAGAGCTGGATGGCCGGAAGGAAGAACTCGCCAGAGAGCTTCTCGGACCCCGAGGCGGGATGCCTCGCAACAAGGCAGACCTGGTCAAGCTGGCGGTTCTCCTGAACGTGACCGTGGACCCCAAGGACACCAACGACCAGTTGAAGGCCAAGTGCAAGCCGATGGTGGACGTTCTGATGGGGAAAGCCCTTGGCTCGAGCCCAGAGAGATCCAAAGGATCCGCAGAAGGCAGCGACCTCAAAGGACCAATGACTGGCTCGAAAGCGATGGAAGTATCAGCACCAACAGGACCAACTGCACAAGCCCCAACTTTGAGTCATCTCCAAGTACCTTGGGGACTCCCAATGAACCCGGATGGGCAGGTCCACTTCGACCACTTCAACCCCCAGACCCGTTCAGTTCAGGAAGGTTGGGTACTCACTCCTCAGTTCTACCAGCTGAACGAGACAGACGATCAGATGCTGTAAAGCTTTCAGTTGGCACCCTGGGGAAAGCAGCCTTCAAGGACTTGAAGAGTGGTGCACGCCTGGCAGTTCGAGATGGCGTCATGAAGGCCAGACGGATGAGAGATAAGATGGGTGCTCCAGTTAGCTATCTCAATGAGATCATGGAGGCAGAGTACGTCGACTTCATCGACAAGGTGGCCAGTGGTCAGGAGGCCGAAGTGTTCATGGTGGACCTCCACATGCCGCCTCTGCCTGCCAGTCGGTTTGACTGCATCCGCTTGCCCATCTCAGGACTTCGAGAACAACTTCAACGACCAAGCCGACTTCATCGACGGTTGACTGATGAGTGGCGTTTTGGCCACATCAATGGATGGATCTGCAGAGACCACTACTGCCCCAGGAGGATCCTCTTCCACCCGTCGACGGCGACTGTGCCCAGGTTCTTTCCCAATGAGGCATTCACTGGTCTGCGAAGATCCGTGTTCTGCGATGAGGAGGGCAACATCAACTTCGTCCGGAATGACAACTTCAAGGACAGCTGGAACACTCAGAGTCATGTTCACAGTCAAGTGGCAGTTCAAGGAGAGACCTGGCTTGAGGTCAAGCAAGATTGGATTGAACATGCGTATCCACCATGGTCATGGGAGCAGTTCAGCTTTCCGATAAGGACTGCAGTCATGCTTGGACAACAAGGCTCTCATGATTGTCAGAATGGTGACAAGTTCTTCGTTGGTTTCGACACCATGAACCAGAAGGGCATGCTTCCTGTGGATAGCACAGTGCCGATCTCTTCATGGATTCGCACCGCTGAGGATGGTTGGATGATGCTGGAAGAAAAGGTACTTCATCGAGACCGAGCTGTTCATCGAGTACCTCATGGAAGCTTGATCAAGTCGGTGGAGGTCTACGTGCAGCTTCATCTCAACACTCTTCGAGAAGATCCTCACCGGTACCCCATGATTGGAGAGCTCTACACGGAGACTGAACCGGTGTCGGCCTGTGCGATTCGGAAAGGTCATGCGATCATGCAGTCTATCACCCTGAAGACTGGCTACGACTTGCTGAAGGTCAGTGATCGCAGAAGGGCA